CTGCCGTGAATTCGAGCTTTCCAGTCTTTAAATAGTGCCACGCAAACGACTACCACCCTCACAAGGTAAATTATCCGCTCGAGCATGGCAATTGTGACTGCCGCTGCTAGGCCACTGCCAATAATTAGGTCCCTTAAAGGATATATATATATAGGGATATAGGGATATAAGGTTTAAATTACTTCTGACATTTCTCGCTTTATCCGGTCCCCACCTCCAGCGCATCGAGGTCTAGGGGCGCACGCCCCTCACCAGCAAACGCTGAGCCTTCAGTGTGAGGGCAGTATGTAAGTTCAGGCATGAATGCATGCAGATGAATGTTTGGAAGGCTTCGCACAAGTAGAGATGCAAGAAACATCTCCTGGATCTCAAAGGCCCCTGCGCGGTGTCAGGGCGGTGTTGGTAGCACCCAGCTTCCTTCCACATGTATTAATATAGTCTAAACTCCTTAAAGGGAGGGTTATATAGGGGATTATATTGGGGAGTACTATAGGGTTTACTAAGGGAGATACTAGGAGTTTAAGCATTAGCTCACATGGAGCTGTCAGGAGCTTGCAGGGCATGCTGACTTAGCCGCAAGCTCTGCAACAATTACATTCACTGACACGGCCAGAATGTTGACTTTAGCAACTGCTAAACCAAACAACTACTTTCATAAAGGCATCACTGCTGCTGACATTCTGACAGGTATGCTTTCAGACCTAGAAATTAAAATCAAAAAAAAAAGATACAGGGTTTAGAGTTTGAGGTTTAGGATGGGTTTTAGGGTTTAGGGTTTATTTTGGGCTTAGGATTCAGGGTAGTTCCCAAAACTAGGGTCCCATTTTGGTACCCCTAGATATTAGGTGCCGTAATATGACCTAGAATCAAAAGGGGCCCATGATTCTGAGAAAAACAGACGTCTTCGTGGCAGAAGCCGCAACTGCCTAAACCCTACACCGTAAACCCCCCTAACTAAACCCTAAACCCTGAATAGTAGTTTTAATCTTATTTTCCGTCATCCCTCTATGACCCCTATTTAAATCCTAAACCAACCCTGGCCCACCTTCCGCTGGCAGAGGGCAGAAGGAGGGCAACCCAAACAAAGCCCAGCAGGGCGGTTTGCTTCATTGAGCACCTGCTGAAAGCATGGCGAAGCAAGACAGGAACTGGGGGCTGGCGTGGAAGAATGCAGGCTCAGACAATCACAGCCCAGCTCAACTTAGGCAGTTGGAGGACTTCGTGACCTGATTGCGCTGGCATCTAAATCTGAGGCTCGAAAACCGAAGGTTCATGCAAATCCTCTGTCAGGCAACTTTGCGTCGACGAGTCTGAGCGGGACTGCATTGTCAAGGGCTGAGGTCCTAGTCCTAATGGGAGGTTCGCAAAATTAATCCTGCAAGACAAAGATCCGCATTCTGGGCCCCACAACACACACACACACACAGTCGCATCAAAAGGCCTGTTCTTTCCCCCAAACGAAGTTACCCATGTTCTGGCAAATGCTTCCGTGAGCCGAAAAAGATCCACTAGCCGAGTCCCCATGAAGGTCCCTTGGCCGCCTGAGGCAACCAGCTCTCGGCGGTGTTGCCTCAGGCCGAGTTTGATGGCTTACGCCATTTCGTTTGAGCCACATGGCTGCGGCCGAGAATGCCGAATCCGAACAGGAGCAGTTCATCTTGCATCTGTGCACGCAGCACTTCCCCCTTGGCGATTTTGCTGCGGGGTCTGCATCAAGCGGTGAGCGGCTCAACCTCTGGTTCTTCCATCGGTCTTCCTCTCTTGGAGAGGGCGCCACAAGCCTTGCCGGCAGGCCAACGACATGAAAGTCAGATCTGTTGGGACTGCTTGAGCTCGCGGCTCAGCAGTTCCCTGTGCAACATCTAAGAGGCAATGACAGACTATCTGCAACCTTGTCACGTGAGCTTTTGCAGGATATGGGTGCTGGAACATGAGTAGGTGACATGGTAGCCTTGAAGAAGTGTCTAGCACTTCGCTTCTTGACAGATGCGTATTCAGGTTGTCAAGTTCTTTTGCTGTAAACACTGCATGCCGCAGCACCAGATTTCGGCACCATGCAAGCAGGCCACACACGCCAAGGCACGCATTCACGTGCCATAGACTGCGTAGATCACTCAGGTTTAATCAAAGCACTATTCATGTAGGCACTGGGAAAAGCTCCCTTGTGGAACTTATGCGCTAAAAAGCGCCTGGACGTCACTGATTTGTCACTTCCGGAATGGTATACGGATTTGACGTCAAGTCTAACTCTAGCTGCGCATGTCTCTGCTTCAGGCACGCAAAATCCTTGGCACAGCAGACTTCGGTTGAGTTGGGTGCAGGTCAACAGCACAAGTCGGTGCAGGACTCTTGCAAGAGCTTCTCTCTGCACTTCTGTTCACTGCTGCTGCCTACCTAGACTCCAAACACCTGGAAGCACTTCTGTTGGCATGTTTCACTTGCAGTGGGAACCCTCTCAGATACAACTACAAATCACACGACCCTCCAGCCTTTCACTTGCCCATCCAGTGCAGCTGCAAGTGACGAGCTCGTCCAAAAGCTGCCTCTGGCTGTCCTGAAGAGTTTTTTTCAGCTAACTGTGCTTTGGGAAGCTTTTGGCTGCTTGAGTTGCTTGGGGATTATCCAGAAGGTTTGGGGAGTCTAGGCTTTCAAGAATGCTTGAAGGTGTAGGCTGCTTTACTTCAAGCCTTAAGGCTCAGTAGATGATAGCAAAGCAGATGGCTGAAGCACTGCTGCAGGTTGCTTTTAGGGCATCAGCCTTGCATGTCATGCAACTTGAACCAACAGAATAAAGCAAAACGGGAACACTCCCCTAGATTGACCCCATCATAAACTCGCCGCTGAATTCGAGGATTCTTCGAAACAGAAACCCAAAAACAGAACCGTCGCGTTGACGCGGACCCCAGAGCTCACCCGAGTCCTGCAATTGCAGAGCGCGCATCTCCTGCCAAGGAGGCAAACAGAAGTTCGAGGCTGAGAAGAACGTTGGCAGAAAAGTGCTCTGCAATGTCTGTCGGGGTAATCGTATATTAGAAATAATGATTTACTGTTTGGATCTCTTTGGGGAACTGGGGGAATTGCGATTAGGGAGGTGACACCGCAAGGGAAGCAAGCACTTTTCCTTCAATGGAGGCTTCCACGCACCCAGGGCAACAATATGGACCCGAATATGGTAGTTTCCCTAAATAGGGGGACCCCAATGTAGAACCCAAAATACTATAATCCACCTCTAAAAGAGTATCCCTAATTTTGGGACACTCCCATATACTACTCCTATGTAGGCTCAGCTCGAGTTTCGATTTCCATGTTTCTTTCCATCTGGTTCTTCATGCTTGGGGTGATATCCCCTAAAATCCCACATAATCCCTAAGGAACCCCATACATCCCCAACCCTAAGCCCTAAAACCTAAACCCTGAGCCCTAAACCCTGAGCCCTAAACCCTAAGCCCTAAACCCTCAACCCTAAGCCCTAAACCTTCAACCCTAGACTCTAAACCCTAAACCTCAAGCCCTAAACTCTAAACCCCAAACCTTTGAGGAGCCATTTCTACAGAACCCATAAATCCCCTACTCTAAGCCCTAAACCCTTCAGGCACCATTTCTGATATGAGCTATAGTCTAAACTCCTAGTATCCCCCTTAATAACCCCTATAGTAGTTCCCTATACAATCCCCTATATTCCCCCTTTAAGGAGTTTGGACCATTGCCCATAAACCCAAGGCGAACCTCAGCCTCGAGGAGCTTCCTCTGGCTGTCGCTGTCCTCACGGGACCCATCATCTCTGAGACAGGTATGTGGATGGTATATAGGGTTTAGGGTTTAGGGCTTAGGGTTTAGGGTTTAGGGTCCAGGGTTTAGGGTTTAGGGCTTAGGGTAGGTTAGGAGGACCCCCCACCCTGTAATACTGGCTAGAATAGGAATAGAAAAGGACCCTAATATAATCCCTATTATCCCTTATATTCACTATTACTGGGCGGGGTGGTCCACCTAAGGTATAGGGATGATGTAGGGTTCTGTAAAGCTTATGTAGGGGTGATATAGGGCTCTGTAAGGAGTATGTAGGGATGACATGGGGTACTGTTGGGATTACATAGGGATAATATAGGGCTATGAGGGGATATACAGGCGAATGGAAGAGGAAATGAACACTCATCCTTACCGTGATCACAATGGGTAATAGGAGTGAGAATAGCCCTTTAAACAAACCCCTTTAAAGTGGCGGAGGACACTGCTTAAAGACAGTCACTGTGGCGGAAATGACCCAAGTTATATATGGACTATAGATAAGGTTTCAGGATATTACCGCCAATACTGGAAAATCCAATTGAAAAGAAATGGAACATAAAATGGAAACGGGGATTCTAGATTCTCGCCACAACAATACAGCTCGAACCATCCTAATGTAGATTTCTGATTTATACACCGCCTCCCCTTAATAGGGTTGTAATAGGGATCCTAGTATTAAGACCCTGAAACGGAGTGGGTTCATAAATCATGGGTCTACATTAGGCCCTGAACAGGATTCTGAGGCTGCCTGTTGGCTTACCTGATGTGGAACTATGGTCACACATTAACTGCTAGGTGATTGTCGTTGCTGCCATTATGTTTACATGTTGTTGCTATTATTGTCAAAGCTGCAAAAAAACTTGACACTAACATTCTTGTTGCTGTCACTGGTGTTATTGAGTGTTGAGGTCCAATGACATGAAACCAGCTTTGCCTTCCACATGACATGATCGGGCTAGAAATCGTAAAGCCTGAGCCATCCTAGTTTGCAGCGCTTTGTCAACGATGTGGTCGAAATAGCACTTGTCTTCACTACAGTCAGGCTGACACAATCTCTCTCCAGGGAGCTGTTGCATGTACATGAAAATTTCCTCTGTCATAAAAGCAACTATAATAGTGGTCATGGTAGCAAGAATAGTAATAACAATGGTGAGGATGATATGTGTAATATGTGCAACGGTCAGATTGAGAACAGGTTGTCATGGCTGCGGGTCCCGCTTCACCATCCTCAGCTTGGCCTGTGCCTCAGCGAGCGCTACCTGGGAAACGAGTGGCGCTGATCCCAACAACACAGGAAAGGTGTCTGCAGATGGTGTATAAACAGATGAATACAGGTTATGTAGGGCATATGGGGTATGCAGTTTGGAGGGTTTTGGGGGAGTTTTAAGTTCAGGGCTTATGTGGTGGTTGAACCAGTCAAGGTCCTACTTTATGTTGCGGACTGCAGCATGTCCTTTAAAATGCTACTCAAACGAGCTTGTTATCGGGCGCTCTCTCTAACCGACTATCACTTCAAATTAGGCCCCCACCCACTAATAGTGGTATACTTGGACTATATGGGGACCCAAATACAGTCATCAGTATCCTGTGTGGTGACTGTTAGTGTAGGCCAAACCTACCACAGTCTGACAAAGAGCAGCATGCTATCAAGCACAGCCCCCCCCCCTCCCCTGCTACGGAAAATTTTGCATGAGCTTAGTATACTAGCATACCATAACTCATGAATCACATACTCAAAGTAATGCAAAATTTCCTCAGCTTCGACCGTATTAAGAACACTTCAACTAATTGATTTGGGGTTTGTGGCTGTGGGGAACATGTACAGTCAGCACATGGCTGAATGCCTTTCCTACCAATACAAACACCAACCCTCCAACTACATTCAATGCCGTTACATATGCGAGGAAGGGGTGTGCATTTCAGCATGAAACAAGGAAGGCACTTGGAAGCTTCCAACAGAAGAGGCACCCCCAGACACTATTACCCCCAAGACCCCAAATATTAACCCTAAACCCTAAACCCGAAACCCTATGTCAAAAACCTGACCCCTGCCTCAAGCGAGTTAGCTTCCGCAATGCGCTCCATCACACCCCGCTCAGCCTGCTCAAGTCCAGGGCTGCAGGGTTCAGGTTTTTTGACAACTCCTTTTTCCAACCTATGTGTCCAAAGGGTTCAGTTTAAGGGTTTAGGGTGCAGGGGGTCTCTCAACATTCTGGGCCTTTTCCCGCACCCGAAGTATTGGGAGCCCTCAAACGCTTGCTTGCTCTCGGTTCTGCTACTGCTGAGCCAGAGCACACCCTTCGGCTGTGTGGGGTATGTAGGGGACTCAAAAAAGGACAGCTTCACAACACCCCATATGAGCTACAGTCCATATTTCCTATATGATTTAATGGAAATGGGTTTCTTATTTAGGGACTCGATGAGGAACTATACCAAACTACAAGAGGGACCCATATGTCCACTGTTAAGGGCCCCTTCATAAGGCTCATATTGGCAGTCGCACAAATCAGCCTCATAGACCCTTATATAAAGCCAGTTTCCACTTCATTGTCCATTTTCTTTCCCATTTGATTCTCCATTCTTGGGATATAATATCCCTAAACCCTAAACCCTGAACCCTATAAGATATGCGGGTTTGTTAAAGGTTCTGGAACCCCCCTCTTTGGATCCGCCTATCTGGAGAGTGATTGACGTGGCCTCTCTAGCTAATATGGCATAGTATGGTATATCGTAATATATTATGGTCTGTTATAATACATTATGGAATAGTATGGTATAATATGGTATATTAAGGAAGATTAGAGAATATTCTGGTATGTTATGATATATTGTGGTATATTATGGTAGATTTGGATATATTGTCGCATTTTTTGGTATATCATAGTATATCATGGTATAATGGGTATATTATGTGTATATTATGGCATATTTATTGTGGCCGCTTCCCTTTGCGCATGCACTCTGCATGGCTAGAACTAGAAACGCAGGGCAGGAACCGTAGCGTGTGGAAACTCTCAGCCGGTGCACCTCTAGTACTTGACCAGTGCAAAGCTAGCTCTGAAAGCTGATCTTGGACATAGTATACTATAGGGTCACATAATATACTGTATTATATTAGTATATACTATAATATACTATATCATAAGATATGTTCAGGAACTTCTCCATTCAGGCTTCAGGTATGTTACTGGGGCGTCTCCTGGCGGCGACATGCACTTGAGAATGTTGGCTGTACCCACAGCCTGCTTCACCGCCGCTGTGAGGCTGCCTATCCTGCAGAAACAGCTAGTAGAGTGATGTGGGGGGAGTCAATCTAGCATCTACAAGCGGGCACCAAACTTAACTGATGCACGTCTCTGCATCACTATCTGTGCAAGTAGTTCGATCGGCAGTTCAAAATTATTCTTCAGGGGGGTTTGACCTACGCCATGCATTGCGATAGGCATTGCATTCCAAGGTAGCTGCGGAGTCCTTCGCTCGTACTGCATCAAGGCACGCTGCACTGCAGCGGCTCCCTGCGGTGCCTCTTGCCGCATGCCTACCAGGTGGCTCTTGGCTGTCTGATTGGCCAAGGCAACCACGTTGGTGCGCTGCATGTCGGACGGCAAGCCGGTGAGTGCCGTGGATGCGGTATCCTGGAAGGCCTCTTGGCCTTTCAAAGCATGTCCGCTCTCCTGGAAAGCCTGCTCCAAGCTGCCATTCTCCACTGCTTCAAGCAGGCTGGCAGCCATCCTGCTGCGGATGTCCTGGCGCATGGCGAGTTAGTTAGGGGAAGACTCTACGTGACAGCTTCCCAATTCCTACAACCCGGATGTCCTCCATCTTCTTGTCATTCCCCTTCTGCATGGTACGGGAAAGAGCCTCTTCAAGCGAACCATCATCTGCCGCCAACAGCAAACCGTCGGCAATCTTCTTGCGCACTCGCTCCAACTCCAGCTCGCGGCCCTTTTCTGTCAATACCTCCTCTAGCCTTCCACTCTCGGCCGCTGCCAACAAGCTTGCTCCGGTTGCTTTGCGCACCCGCTCAAGGTCTTTCTTCTTCTGTGCTGCATCCAGCGCTTGCTCCAACCTCCCACTCTCAGCAGCCGCCAAGAGGCTCGCTCCTGCTTTCATCCGTACCCGTTCAACATCTTTCTTCTTCTGTTCGGAGGTCAGCACTTGCTCAAGCCTTCCACTCTCTGCGGCAGCCAACAGACTTGCTCCGGCTTTCAAGCGCACCCGCTCCCTATCGAGCTTCTTCTGCTCGCTCTTCTGCTGCTCCGACGCCAACACCTGCTCGAGCCTTCCGTTCTCCGCAGCAGCCAAGAGACTTGCTCCAGCTTTCAGGCGCACCCGCTCCCGCTCAAGCTTCTTCTGCTCGCTCTTCTGCTGCTCAGATGACAGCACCTGCTCCAGCCTTCCGTTCTCCGCGGCAGCCAAGAGACTTGCCCCCGCCTTCAGTCGCACCCGCTCCCGCTCAAGGTTCTTCTGCTCGCTCGCCTTGCGCTGGGATTCCAGCACCTGCTCGAGCATGCCGTCCTCTGCGGCAGCTAGCAGGGTGGCGGCAGCCTTCTGACGGACCTGCTCTGTATGCTGCATCTTCTTCTCGGATGTCACCAACACTTGCTCTAGCCGGCCATCCTCTGCAGCCGCAAGTATGCTGGCACCCACTCCCTTGCGCATCCGCTCCTGGGCACGTCATGAGACCTATATGTCTCAAACGAAACATGTTAATTCGTGCAAGATCTCCTCGAAATTCCAAATGCTCTGTTCATCAACTCCAACTGCACACTGGCCCTAACTAAACCCCAGGAAAACATAAAACAGGCAAAGGTTTGTTAAAGGAATGACCAAGGCTCAATATCCTGCCTGCGCTGTTCGACCGACAAAGCGCTCTCCAGCCGCCCGTCCTCCGCAGCCGCAAGCATCGAAGCAGCCATCCTCCGGCTCCAAGACGGTTATGTGTGGGGCTCCCCCAAACAGCAGGACCCCTACGGATTCTAGGGAGGGTGAAGGAATTTCAGATGTCGTGCAACTTCCATATACTCTCTGATGCATAGGGCGTGGGGCGGAAGGTCGTGTATGAGTTTAGTTTTGGGTTCTAGGGCGTATGGGTTTCAGAAAAAAACTCCTGACAGAGCCCTTCTTGCCATCCCGAGAATCCGTTCTCTCACCAACAATTACACAAAATGAAGGCCTAAACCCCGGCCATGTTGTGAGTGCGTTGATGGCCTCTGAGATTGCTTTTGCACTTGGCTTTGCTATGGCCCGCACATGAATTGCATGGATCTTTGCCAGAAGAATGTGGAATCATGCTTTGCGTACCATTGGGTATCAGCAATAATCGCATTCATTAGTCAGCTTAGAATGCCCCCTCTTCTTCTCCACAAAAAGCTAATAGGATATAATACTCTGCGCACAACATCATTCCCATGTTTGAGGCTCTACATGTTGTTTAATATCTTTTGAGATATCTTGAACATTGTTGAGGTAGTGTTAACAGTGACCGTGTGCAACAACAATCCCGCAAAACACTAAATCCCAAACAAGTGGCCCTACGTCACTAAAGACCACTGAAACCCTAAGCCCTACACATGGGCGCGCTCTGGCAAGCCCTTCCCGCGCAAAATGTACAGGTCTAGTAAAGGAGATTAAGAAAAGGGAACTGTAGAGATTACATAGAGATTTGTGGAGATTATATGCGGGTTCTGTGGGAAGTGAGAGAGAGAACCACCCCCCCCGGTCGTGGTGTAGCGAGAGCTGCGGGCCGCTTTGGGACATGATTCGAAGAGGGTGCAGAACAGAACGCAAAGTGCACAACCATACATACCTACAAACCTCAGTGCCCATTCCATTATCCATCTGCTTTTCCATTTGATTTTCCATTATTGACACATAAAACTCTACAACCCCCTATAACCCATGTCTGTATGTATATTTATATACTGTCACCCCCCAATGGTATGGGTCCCCCCTCCCCCTGTGGACCGGGTGGTTCTTGTGGTCCTTTGGCTGGTGGTTATCCCCACTGTTACCTTAATTCTTCTAGCCACATGTTTATTTGGACGTTCCTGGGATGTAGTGCCAGCTTACGATTAAGCCTAAGTAGAGCTACAGCCCTATGTATAAACGGTATGAAGGTCTAAAAGTGACCACGGTTACAAGGATCGCGACCCCGGGAGGCCCCTTCCCTGTGAGGCCCCTTCCCTGTGATTGTTGGCACTTTTCAGACGCCAAGACCACACGAAGATCGAAAAGTGATGACAGTTACAAGGGTCGCGACGCCAGAGGGCCCCATCCCTCTAACTGTTGGCACTTCTAGAGACCCATCAAAAAGGAGCTAACAGTAGGATGGAAGCTTTGAGGCGTCAACGACGACGCCGTTAAGGGACTTTTGGCTCTTCTGAGAGGTTTTACCGTGGGGAGAGGGCACCTAACCAGGGGGGGCATCATGTATCCACATGTGTATATACTAAATTATAGTCTAAACTCCTGGCATCCCCCTTAATAACCCCTCTAGTGGTCCCCTATATGATCCCTACATAACCCCGTTTAAGGAGTTCAGACTATGGCTCATGTAACCCTATGGATCCCTATAGAACCTGCTTGTTGAGAAGCGCCCGTCCTCTTGCGGAGGAGTTCCATCTGCTCGGCCTGGGGTCTGGCGAGGATCTGCTCCAGGCGTCCATCATCTGCTGCCACCATCCTTGGCTAGCTAAAGCAGATATGGGGGTTTCCCCAAAATAGCGGTACCATTTTAGGGGTCCCCATAATAAGGATTATAGTATATTGGGGTCTATATTGGGGTCCGCCATTTTGAGAAACTACCATATGTAGGGGCACATGGGATTTTAGGGCTTATGGAGATAAGTTCTAGGTAGGGATATTACGAAATGCTAGTGTTAGATTGAGGGTTTGTGGTTTAGGCGGGTTGTGGGGTTTAGGGCACGCATGTTGCGAGACGCTATTGTTACTCATAGCAGTAAGTATAAGAGGCCATGGTAATATGGGAACATTAAGTTGGAGTACTTCAAGGGGCTGAGAAGGGCCCAGTACTCTAAATCCCACATGAGCGGGTCCGATACCCTAAACCCTAAACCCTAAACCCTAAACCTAAGTATGGGGCCCGCCCAAATCCTACTGAAGGTCTGCAGCTGACGGGGCTCATTGAAGGGCCCGTACTATCAACCCTCTGATACATCTCAGTAGTATTTTATTTGGGGATACTATGGTGCCCAGTATCGAGTAATATTATATCCTCCTTTTGGGGTATAGTATTTTATATAAGGAATATAATCTTACTGGGTTTAACCACCAAAAAAACACTACTCATCTGGAGCTGCCCCCTAAACCCTAAACCCTCACAAAAGCATGGTTTGGGGCCCAGGGATGAGGGCTTAGTATGCAGGGGCCTGTATGATGCTTTGAGGGCTCGCACGGAAACATCATTAGGTGTTCTGATTCACAGTTCTTCCAAGCGAGACCCCTAAACCCTAGGCCCAAAACTCGCCCCTGAACCGCAAGCCCTTGGCCCAAAATGCCCAACCCTAAGCCTAGCATCAAGTCAGCCGCCAGTTTCTGACGGAGTCTCTCCATGGCAACGTCCTTGTCCTTCACGGTGCGATGTTACAAATGCCCACCCCCCAACATCCAATACTCCCCTTGTAATATGCTTAAAAATCAGAATGGAAACTACTATAATATAATAAGGTATATATTGGGGTAAGGTTTTTTTGGGGTCCTCAAGTGGATTCTATGGGACTCATAACATATGGGGTATGTCAATTTGGGGATGTCGGGGGCGGTTAACTTTACGGGGAGGGGAGTACACATGCTCAGTTGGAGCCGGGAACGCAGAAGGCAAGTGAGACTACGGTGCTATCCGGGGCTTAGGGCGTAGCTGGGATTCGTGGAATGGGCTGCAGGGATGATTCTGGGGATCGTGTAGAGACAACCTTAAGGATCGTTTCCCGACTCCCAACTAGGCATGATTCAGCAACCCTAAACCCAAAACTGATGGTGAGCTCTCAGTCTTCGGACTGCCAATCGAGAATATCAGAAACAGCGGCCACGGACCATTCATACCCAAACGCTTCCTTGGCGTTCTGTAGTGAGCCTTCCCCTAATCTAGCGTGGCACTATTTTGGGGGTATGTATTGGTAGGGGTGTGGGGGAGCCATGGGGAGCCCACAATGAGAGCACTGCCCATATAGGAGGTCAAGGCTCCCCAATTGGATAGGGTCTCTGTGACACCACTTAATATCTTGCCGGCGCCACACCCCAGTACATGAGGAGTTTCTCAAGATAATCCCAACATAATCGCCAACAAGGCCCCGAATATTTGTAAGTCCCCAATACATCCCTAAGCTTCCCTCCATTTCAGAACCTCTCCCTCTTGAGTAGTGCTGTTGTCGGAAATCTTTTCTTGATACTATAACCAAAAGGAAGATATTGCTGTACTCTATGTTGGGGACCGTACTAACCCAGTAAAAAGTACTTCAGTCAGCCTTACACCAGGAGTCTATCAAAATCATCCGCAAAATGATCCCCAACGAGGACCCCTATTGGCATCTGATACTGCATAGGTATCCTTACAGTCCCCAAAGAGTCTCCAGCTTTTACTCAAATACCCTAAACCCTAAACCCTAAAACTGACACTAGCTTGGGCAGCCTGCCTGGGCGCTGTTGGGCTCCATCTCCCACGATGCCTGCAGGGGATGTGCAAAAACTAGACTGCGGATTGCTGTTATTTTTGATACAGTAACATTGCTCCTATTGACTACTATTGTTATTGTTACTGTTACTATTGTGACAGGAGCTGCGCCGCGCAAAGGAGAGACTGTGCAAAACTGAGACCTAACCACTTTGTTTTAGGCCCGGACTGGGTGGACTGGTGGCACAAGCGAAACATCGAGCGGCCACCATACACTAATTGCTGACATGATGGTTAATTGTTTTGAAGTGGCCCGAGGCACAGGTGGCACCTAATGCTCACGCGGTTGGGAACGTCTCAACTTTCTCGACCCACTGAACCGGCACCACGGTGATCTGCTGTAACCGCTGAATCCCAGCGCCAGCATAAATTTCTACCCCAAAGCTACCAAGTGGGCAGCAATTGTTTCAGCTTCTGGTTGAGGATCTCCTCACACCCTGATTGTAGCCTGCTCGTGCACATATGGTGGAATGTACACGGATTGGGTCTGATGGGGGTGAGGAGGTTCGGGTGGTAGGCACAATCAACTCATATCACCCGTCGAACCCAAATAACCCCATGCTGTAGGGCCCCTACATAACCCATATACCCTTAACGACCCATATAATCCTGAAAACCTTGGTTTAAGCCGAATGCGAAGGCTTGCTCATAAACGCGAGATCTGAGAGAGCCAGCAGTCGCAAAGTTACTGGTCCTCCCGGGGTACAACCATTTTTCCATAGTTAAACTCCCCCACTCCCTTCTTCACAATGAATATTCCGATTATATCATGGACTGTATTAGGGGGGATCATAAGGGGGTGGGGGGGATTGTTATTAGGTGAGGAGGTTTAACCCGAGACCCTAAGCCCTCAACCCTAAACCCTCAATCCTAGACCTTAAACCCTA